ATGGGAATTACATAAGCGGATTTCAAAACACAAATGCAACTCAATCTATTTCCTATCTTTGTTGTACTAATTAAACTACGGTGTCTGTCTGCTCTACAAGAGGGATCCCTATAACCTATTGACGTACATACAAGATGTATACCGCATCGGAAAGCTATTGCACCTGCGAGTGACATGTGCGGATTTGTTTCCGCGCTTCTCGTATCGTTTATCAGTTATATACAGTTTTTTGTTATGGCTGTAGTTTCACATTGTGGCCCTCGAATCAAACGGCGCTGTGGCACTGTGCGCCACAGAGCATCGACGGACACACTGCAGTTACACCTGGTGACCGCCGGCGGATGGTGTGGAGGATAAGTGCAGCTGATGTGTATCTAACAGGCGATTGTCACTGAGCAAAGGGAGCAGAGGGGTCACTGGGGTTGAAGGAAATCGCAGAGGTAAGTCAGGAAAGGGCTTGAAAGAAGATTCATGGCGGGGACTTTACCACATTTCAAAGTAAAGTATCCAAAGTGTTTAGAAACATTCTACAGACGTGAAGGAAACTGTCAAATAGTGATTTATGTAATTTATGATTTATGTGTTGATCTGACTCAAAATTCTACCGTCTCTCATTTACCCATCACAGCTACTTGACTTGTCCCAACAGCTGCTGTGGCTGATGTTGCTGTTGGTGTGAAGGGGAATAATGTATGAAAGTTCAGGCTGTTTGCTCCACGGTGTGAGAGCAGGAAGCTGCTCACTGACTGACTGCACACGATCACAGCTGCTTCCTGACAATTGTGCTCTGAGTTCCTGCCCCACCTGCAGGCAGCTTGAATCATTCTGTGTGAAGCGACTTTCCAGCCGGAAGACTTTAGATATAAAAAGTAGCAACTTGTTTAGCATTTCGCTAATGTGCTTTTCTGGAACATATACTGTTCTGTCGCATGGACATACAATAATTTACTGTAAACTCGAAGTCTTGAATCGCAATTGCTAAAATAAACCAGAAACAATACAAAAATATAAAGAGACAGAACACTCTCCATCATTTCTATTGTTTGCTAAGTAAAGTTAGCGCCTCTTATTTATTTTTTTAATGCAGGAAATACTACAAGCGATGCATAAAATGTGTTGACAAAGGCAGCCAGGCAATAAAAGTGATATAACAAGCTGAGTGTAAGAGGCACTGCACATTATTATCTGGGCGATTAGGCTGTACATCTCTGCCACCTTACACAAGCGATGTACTGCACTGTATTAATTGTCCACTGTTCAAATAATCTAACACATGTTACTATTCCCACATTGAGACTGTGTATAATTACACATTTTTTGAAATGAACAGCCTAATAAGGCCATAGACTTATTTATTTGGGTCGCTGGGAAGAGGGATGAACTGAAACTCAATAAGCCAGAACAAGAATATACGTGGAGACAAAGCTGAGAAATGGACTGAGAGAGAATTGCACAGAAGCCATTGCAGTCTCCAGCGACCTTGTCAAATCCTCAAATGTAACAGGAAACAATATTATCGTTTGAGCGCGACAGACTTACAATCAACCCGGCACACACGAATGGAGAAACACACTTTATTACATATAAATGGATGATCGGTTTCAAATGTGTTAAATTATTATCATTTTCAAATGATTAATTTTTTGGTCGTTTTCAAAATATGTCGAATGTCGCACTTTTTCGCCAACACATCACCGAGTGACTGACCACCAAGGTTGTCCTCACATTCAGCAAGTAGATACCTTGGTCATGTCATGAAATGGTGTCTAGAATAACAATCATTGATACATTGCTTTAGAAAATTCTGATTTACATTTTGCTACACAGTCCATGAGAGTATTCCGTAAGGAGGCCACACGGGAGCTGTTCTGTGCCCTTTAGTTAAGAGCCATTGCACTGAATACTTTCTTAGAGTGTGAGATTTATGTTGTATTTTGACAGATTTGCTGGAAGATAGCAGCTCTTTCCGACGGTTTGCAGTTCCACATGCAGTACCCCAAAAAGTATTCAGGTATCAGTGTTGGCTGCTCATGTAACTCTGCAGCGGTTTGTTTCAGTTCAGCATTTCAATGTGGAACGGAAGATTTTCACTGGGAATTATCTATGTTGGTTTCTAATTTTGTTGAACTGAATATCGGAGTCAGATGAATGTTATATTTTACAGCCTTTGTGAATTTTGAACATATCTACTGCCGGGACTCTGCTACTGAGGAATGTTACCTGTGTGACTATGCAATGTGCCAGAGAGAATTACAAACCACAAATGTACAAACTCCTCGAGCAAACAAGTAGCTCAAACACTGAGAATTACACCCAGAACAAGTGGTGCGTTCATATTCGGACTCTGAGATCCCAATGCTGACTGTTGTTCCCAGACATTAATTCAAGTCCACTCTCCCGGGTCAGGCGACTTCGAATGCAATATGAACGTTTTGAACGTCGAGTAGATGTGAACAGGAACTGTATCAGACACGAGGATTATTATCATTATTAATATGATTATTACATCTTTTATTTGTATAAGGGAAACTAGTTTTAGACGGTTTACTCGGAAACAGACTATATGATAATTGCAACATCAGCTTCAGACATTCAGGAACACAACCACAGTGTCTGATGACAATCCCTGTTAAACTCTCACTCGCAGTTAACTGGAAGCTGCTGGGATACCAGCGTTTGGGCACAGCGACAATGAAACCATTTCTGATTTAACCTTCATTTAATATCGTTCCAGTTTTCTTCTCCTCTTGTTCTGAAGGAATGTGATTGCTCTGACATTGCATTGGGCACCAATTCCACCAGCAGCAATCGCTATTCGGCATCTAACGCCAAGGAGACTTTTCATGCCTGGTTTGAAATCATAAGCATATATTCTATGAAGCGCTTTGAACGTCGAGCAGATGTGAACAGGGGCTGTATCAGATACGAGGATTATTACCATTATTATTATTATTATTATATCTTGATGCCCATGTCGGAGATGAAGTAAGGAATCGATTACAAGAAGCAGGAAGCAATCATTTACGGCAGTTCAGAACATCGCTAACAATAGGAAATAATGAATATTTGAATTGAGTTACAATACAAATTTTTACCCACAATAAACTCTCACTGCACACTACTCTCCATGTTGTGCAGTACCGTGACACCTTGCAATGACGTGGGAAGGCATTATGTGAATTGCATGAATTGTTATAATAATTATGAAAATTATATGAGGATAAGAAAATAAGAATTACAGAATGAAAAAAATGTCCGCTACCACCATCTGGTAGTCGCATGCACGTGTCATGTCCCAAACAATATAATGATTCAATACATATTATTTCCAAAGGTAACCTATCTCATTTACTTTTAGAAGAATCAGTAGTTTCGGCTTCCTTCATCTCCCTATTTTTAACATTCGCTCACTGAAATAATGTTGAAAAGATTCCTTTTGAATTTACCGCCTCCTCGACACAACCTCAAACACGCGCGCACACAAGTTGAAGGAAGCAATTTGCGATGCTTCAGAGTCAGTGCGAGGGTTAATACTTCTGACACTTATATTAATATTAATTTGCTGTAAGTGCCGAATGTCCAGGTACATTTATTGATCTGTGTAAGTCAGAGGGAATGTGGCACGTGACTCCCCTCAGTCCTGCAGTTATTGGTCGATTCTCCACCCCCTGCCCCACTGCCCCTTGTTATATAGCGGTCACTGGGGACTGAGGCCATCTGTCCGGCAGCTCTCTGGCCCTCGGTTATTCGGCTCAAGTCTCAGTTCTGCCAAGTGCCCAGAAACATGAGCTCCTTGATTTCTCTCAGTCTGCTGCTGGCTGTCTTCTCCCGTGAGTTATATTAGACTGACAGTCTCACTGTTCCTGTGGCGGTGTTATTCTCTCTGCAATGTCACAGAGAAAGGAGATTTCACAGTCATTAATCTTCGGTCATTTATTATTTACAGGTGTACAGGCCGATGTGGTGCTGACACAGCCGCCGACTCTAACCGGGGAACCTGGCCAGGCCCTGAGACTGACCTGCAAAACCAGCGGGTTTGATCTCAGTACCAGCTGGATGACCTGGTTCCGACAGGTTCCGGGGAAGGGGCTGGAATGGCTCCTTGAATACAAGAATCCATCCAACAAGAATTACGCGCCTGGGATTGAAAACCGTGTCACTGTCATCAAAGAGGATTCCAAAAACATCTTCGATTTGATCATCAAAAGCCCGAGAGTGAACGACACCGCCATCTATTACTGTGCAAGAGGGTCACAGTGAGAGGAAACGGGGCTGAACTCCTACAAATACCCAATGGGAGGAAAGGCAGCCGCTCCCACCCTAAACTGAGGGTCAGATATGGTGTCAATGCTGTGTCTGTAGCGATGTTTAAAGCAAAAGCTGTCAATTGATTTCTTATCACTGTGAACCAACGCAGTGAATGGTGGTTTAATTGGGGTGAATGAACACTTTGTTGGTGTTGTAATATTCTGTGAATTCAGCTGGTCAGTCACTGTGTGCTGTTTGAGGCGGGAAGGACTGCGATTGGAGAATGGCGACGTGACGGTTCACATACATCATTTTGTTACAAAGTGCTGAGATAATTGTTTCCGGTTTCTGTGTCTAGGAAAAAAAATATTGGATAGACCATATGTAATACCAGGGGAGAAGAGTCCCTTTTGGCAGTGAATTTTGGTAGCCAGTATTGAGCAAAAAATGGTGGTCAGTATTTGTATGGAACTGAGTCACTGTGTCTACAGTGGGTCACAATGCTGCATGGAGACACCTCTTCATACAAAAACTCCAGAGAGAGAGGCTGCTAATCATTGTCATCTCTACAACATCCACATGAACCATATAACTGACACTGGAACTGGAACAGCCTCAGAAATAACGTTGTATTTAAACGATGTATTAACCCATGAATTCCGAATTATTTCGATTGCAAACACGATTGAGGTCTGGGGCGTATTAACCTGATGGAACATTAATCAAAAGTCTCTGATCCACATAGGAGTACATGCTAAATGGAACACTAGAAGAAGCCTCACCGGAGAAGTTGAGTTGAGTTTCCATTCCTACTGAAATTTCAGCTCAGTTTTTGTCACTTCATTCTCTACAGGAGTTTATGTAATAGTGTGTATCACAGTGACACTGGAATCACGGCATTAACTATCAATACAATAACCCTTCAATAGCAAACCTGTAAACCGCTCTCGGTCCTGGCTTGTGTGTCCCATGAAATAGCAGGGGTTTGGTGTTTTTAAAATGTACCTATTTCTGAGGGTTTTACCGGATCATAATAGACGTATCACACAATATATCCTCTTCAATCTGTGAGAGACAAGAAAAGGTGTTTGGCAGAAACTCTGCAAAAAGCCAAAAATACAAACTATTAACAAGTAAACGTACAGGAGTGCAATTGTTTTCACAATACAATGCAAACATATCGTGCATTGAAATTATTTTGGGGAAGTCAACGTTGACATAATCGTCTGTTTGTGTGTTCTGCCCACAGAGCAGGTTGTTGCATTGGGCGGCCCACAGATTGTAGTACAGTGACACCTGGGGACAAGGCACTATGGTGACTGTGACTGACGGTAAGAAACAGAAATTCACTCGATCACTAAAGGGGCGGAATTAGATTTTTATATTTGTTTCTTGCACTTTATCAGCTATCTAAAGAACTCAGCTCTTTCTGAGTTTAATGTACTTTAAAGTGCTTTCGCTGTCATTGTTAGTTTGCTTTGGATTAGGCAACCGATGTTGAAGTCATCGTTGCTGGTATTTTTGATGGTTATTTGAATGCACAGCTGAGGTTGCACTGAATAATTTCTGCAATGTCTGATCGCCATGACTGGCGGCTGCTGGTTTTCGGGTTTAATATCCTCAGGAATGGTATAAAAATGTTTAAATCTGTGTCACAGTGTTGGGGATCAAGGTCTGAATGTTGCGGGAAGGGTGACGGGAAGATTTTCTTTCAACATATATGTCAATCCGTTATTTAATGTAAGGAAGGCGGCTGCGATTTGAAGCGCCCCATCTCTGCCTCCAACCCGGTAGAGAGGGATGAGTCCGAGAGTAAAGCGGGTTTATACAGCAACTTAAACTGCACGGATGTTACAGAAGTAATAGTGAAGGTTTTCATTTTAGCAAATGTCGGCATTAACGTGTTGCCAAGTCTCATTTCCTCAGCTGCCCCACACATCAATCACGATTTTATTCAGTGGCAGTCAGAGCTCAGACTTTATTTCCATTGAATTTTAACAACAATTGTTTGAACATGAACTCGCTTCCAGCACAGTGCTCAGAGACACAAAATGTCGGTGCTCATCTTGAACCACAAGCTTCCTGTTTATACTAACAGATCTGCGCCCAAAAAAAACGCTGATTTGTTCAATAAGCAAACGGTTAACTGTGAATTACAGGCTGCAATGTAAGAGATCCAGTTCATTATTAGATATTTTAACACACAGCGACACTGGTCACTGACAACAAACTAATGATTTTAGTGATGGCCAGCTCAGTCTCCAGAATCGGCAGAGATGAGGGTGAAAGGGAACAGTTTATCATTTGACTGTAAATACATGAGTTAGTTATTAATTTTGACTATTTGTTCTGCAGCGATTTGTCACTGTGAGATACATTGTACAATGTAAAATGAGTCGTGTGTGATGTGAATGCAGAGTGTGTGAACTGCTGTGCGGTAACTGAGAGCTTTAGGCTGAGGGAAAGAGAATAAGGAGTAACCTGTCGGTTATTACATGGAAACACTGTGTGTTTGAGATGTGAGGGTTCAGGCTGCGAAGGTTTGTTTTCATCAATGTCTTCCCAGAAGCCGAGAAATTCACTTCCCGTCAATCTGTCAGGAGACCATTTGTGGTAAATTGTAAACAGTGCAGAATTATGAATAGTTTCTTCAATTCTGTGCAATTCCTGAAACGAGTTTCCCAGGTCTCTTAAGAAGAAAGGGATTCCGAATTCAAAGTAAATTGAGGTTACTATACACTTCTGCCAAATCTTAAAGTAAAGATACAACGGACTCCCAGTGTTAGACTAGTTTCTAGTTTTATTCCACGTATTTAGAACTGACAAGACGGCAGCCGCGGGGCGGGAAACAGACCCACAGACATCAGAGCTGTTGTGGTTCATTGCTGAACATGGGGCAAGTTTCCTTACTGCACAGATATGCGCAAACACCTCTGTTTAGCCAGCAGTAAATAGTTTGTTCGTGGATTGGCGGATTGCTTTTCCAGGGAAATAAATCCTTCAAGACAATCATAATAATTGAGTTAATCCACGGCTGCTGTTTGGACACCCAGAAATATAATCAATTCATTCATAGCATATTCTGTGAAGCGCTTTGAGTGGCTTTGAAAACGTATGAAGGCGCTATATTAAATGAAAGGATTATTGTTATTATATTCTGAAACATGAATATAAAGCTAATTTGCTCCTTAGTCAATGCAGCCTCTCTGACATCAAACCCCCGGACAGAGACCTATGTCTTTATTTAACCATTTAAGAGCTGATATGTGACACAGATCAAAGAAAATATGCTTTAAATATCTGTGTCTCCTTTTAGCGCTTGGCCAGCGGCTGCTGCAGGTTCTACTGATCACAACCACAAGTCAGACAGGATTCCCTGTGAGAGGCTTTTCCTGAGCACCACACTGATTAAACTCCTTCATTCCCCATGTAAACCACCGAATCTATTCATTACCAGTCAGTCTCTGCCATTTTGAAGCCCTCAGAGAAGCTTCCCTGCGTGGAGGGCACTATATATGTGCAGGTGGTTGTTCTTCTTGTTGTATTACACGATCTTTGTTTTTTTCCTAAAAGAGCTGTTATTAACAGTAATCCACAATTAGTCAGACAAATCAGGAATATTCTATTTTACCACCAACAAAGTGGCCGTCCGATGCGAAACTGGCTGTGGCTATTCTGTAATCAATCTGAACAGAATACATTGTTTTTAAAATGTCAGAGCCAGAATCTCTCAATTCGTAAATTTTCAGACGATTGTGTAACAATGTAGGAATACTGGGATGTTTGGATAATTTTGAAATAAATAGATATTGGCAATTTAAATGTATATTTTAGAAAATAAAGCAACATTTTAATTAAGATTTAATTGATTAAGCAACATTTTCGATTCCAGCTGCTTTTCAAAAAGCCACAATGCCCCTTGCACTTTAAAACCTTGTTGCTCTGTGTAAGAACAGTAAATATTTTCGGCTGTGATGGTTTAGAATTACTTCATGATCACAGGGACACTGTCTGATTTTCTGTGTTTCTAAACTTAAACTGATCAGATGGTGACTTTAAGCTGCTTCTCAGACGGTGCAGAGTCACTGACACCAGATACCCGGACAGACACCTCTCCCTTTACTAATCCATTTCGCAGCTGAAATGTGACATAGAGATTCAAATTCGAGCCGAAGAAAATCCTTCTACAGCTCAGAGAACAGAAAGTGAGATACAACTGTACAGAGACAGACAGACAATCAAGGGTTTGCTGTGTAGAATAACAATTTCTTACTCACAAGGACAGTCAAAGCTTAACCAACATTATTGGGTTCCTAAATTTAAAATGTGGCTATATTTATAAAAACAGTAATATAATTATAATAATATAAAAATCCTTGCATTTGATATAGCGCTTTTCACGTCTTCTAGACGTCCCGAATCGCTTCACAAAAATATACTGTAAAGTGAGTTGTCTGTATATTTATGCGCGAAAGCGGCAGCCCATTGCGCACAGCAATGTCGCAACATTGTCATGGATTGAAAATGACCAATTTATTATTGTTTTGTTCATTTGGAGGGATTATTATTAGGAGTGTGGAGTAAGGAAACTTGCCCAAGGTTTCGCCCTGCCTGGAATTGAACTCAGGTCTCTCACTTGCAAAGCGAGTGCTCTAACCACTGAGCTATAGGACTCCACTAAAGGGCCAAATGTGTCGATAAGGAGCCAATTCGGCTCCTACTTCCCGCCCACCAGGAAGATAGCCCGGCTCTATCCAGCGATTCATTTTATCCTCAAAATGCTCCTCCATTTTCTTCTGGAAATTCAAATTCGAATAAATATTGTTGTCAACATATCAGAAACAATTCGAGAAATTCCTGCTACTCCTGTGTCTCATCCAAGGCCCTGCCCAACACTCTCACTTCTCCCATCAATCTCTGAGAAGTTAATGACTCTGATGGCATTAAACATTTATTTCACACTAACTTTGTTCTGCACCATGGCTGAGTATCTTTAGCATTGGTTTTGCTTTGCTGGAGAAACGTCACCGTCCTAAATACCATCAAGTGGATGATCGGTGGAGCCAGATGAAACAGATCCCAAAACGCACAGTTATTCGTGTAGTAAAATGATGACAAAAATTCCAAATAAATTAAGAATAAGTTATTCTTTAAATATCATCTATGAAAACTTCGGTCTCGAACCAGCATAAGGAGGTTTGAGGCGGAGTGACTGCGGGATGGAATTCCAGAGGTTGTGCTCATGGCTGAAGGCTCCCGAGGTAATGGTGGGGCGGGTGGGTGAGGTAATTGGGGCAGCCCAGAGCCGGCTGAGCATGGGAGCGGGCGAATTGTAGGCGGTTAGGTAGGAGGGAGTCAGTTAGGTGGTGCGATGCCATGGAGGCATTTGTAGGGGAGGATCATGACCATGAACAGGATCCTCTGAAGGATGGACAGCGGATGGAGTTCGGCGAGAGTGGGGGGATGGGTCAAGGAGTGTGTGGCGTGAGAGGAAACGGGCTGCAGAGTTCCGGATAATCTGTAGTCTGTGAAAGGAGGAGTTGGGAAGGCCGTCAAACACGTCGCTTGCATAATCGAGCCTGAAGGTGATGAAGGTCTGAACAAGAGGTTCAGCGGCCTGAAAGGTGAGGTAGTGGTGGAGTCGGGCGATGTTACGCAGAGCGGGGTCATGGCTTGAATGTGGGGAAGTAAAACAGCTGAGCGTCGAACAAGACATACTGATTCTTGACATACCTGCATACATAAACATACACTCAAACAAAAATTGCATACACAAATACATACAGAGATATACATTCCCACACACACCACACACATACACACATATTTTCATTGATTTGTGTCAGTTTTGCTTTAGTTTATCTGCGTGTCTGTCCAAGTTTGAGAAGCGTAGAACTTCATATCTAACTATCCTCTTGTTTTCCAGCTGTACCTACTCCTCCCAGACTTTACGCCCTGCTGGCATCCTGTGGAGAATCCGCTTCTGGAGGCTCAGTGACTGTCGGGTGTCTTGCCTCCAGCTACAGCCCCGATCCGGCCATTTTCACCTGGACATCAGATAAGCAGCTCATCACTGAACAAGTCAAGACTTATCCCTCAGTGCTCAACAGGAACGGTCTCCACACTGTGAGCAGTCAGTTAACAATCGCTGAATCCCAGCTGGGAAACAGCAACATCCATTGCAAGGTTTCACATAAAAGCAACAGCTGGCCAGCCGTGGAAATCCCCTTGGAAGGTCAGTGTTGTTCTCCAAGGTACAGAACAATCACACGTTTTGCTCCCATATTATTCAGGGCAGAACACTCAACATTGCAGGTGTGGGTATGTCACTTTTGTTCATCAAGGTATTGGAATACTCCCATCACAGAGAATCTACAATGGCATGATAATATTACACTCATTTCCCGAGTGCTGCTTTACGCGGAGATAGTATGCATATATGAACAGGTAGAAAGTACTCCAACCAGTTAAGTTGGACCTAGGAAGACAGTGGAGAAACATGACATGAAACAGATAAGCCACAAACTAGGGAGAGGGAAGGTGGGACTCTGAGAAGCTGAGCGAGCTAGCTTTGGAGAGCAAGGCTAGAGCAACGCTCAATGATAAGCAAAATGGTAGGGAAGAATAGAAGAGTTTTCAACACGAAGCCCACTTTAGACTCCATTAGAATATATCAGATGTAATGACTAAAGAGATTGCAATGTTCCTCTTTCTAAAGTGAGGTATTCAATGAGAATATTGAAAGAGATAATTCAATGAGAGAGAAGTATCCATCCCGTGGCTGAGATCAATGTCTGTTTCAATATGTATATCAATTGCACATCAAAAAATATTTGCACCAAACCAAAACCTAACCTGTTATTCAATATCTTGCAGGACCGTTGCCTCCCGTTGTTGTCGTCACACAGTCTTCCCCTGATGACATCGCAATGCAAAAACCGGCCACTGTTGTCTGCTTAATATCTGGTTTCCGTCCGGACAATCTCAGGGTGGATTGGCTGAAGGATTGGCAGCCCATCAACTCAGGTGTTGTGACCTCTCCCTCGGTTAAAGGCAATGGGACATTCAGCACCAGCAGCCGTCTGACTGTCCCCGCCAGAGAGTGGAAGAGCGGCTCCGTGTACACCTGCCAAGTAACCCATGACCCCACACACACGATCATTGTCAACAACATCACCAAGTACTACCCAGGTAGGAGCCACAGCACCAGCTGATAAACATGGCAACAACATAGCTCTCAGTTTCCTTGCCAATGTCCACTTGTGGGAGCTCTGGGGCACTTTGGGTTGAGATCATGCTGTATATTTCACTGGACCCAATGCACATGTGAGCTTTGAACCAAAGTTTATCGATCTGTACAACATGAATAAACCTTGACTCGATTATCCATCACACTATTATCAGGAGAGGGCCAGGCAGGCGCTCTGTGTCACTGTTTTCTCATCTGCTGCTCAAAGGGAGATCTGGCAATTCTCACAGATCCACCTGACTGTGGCTGTAATTCCCATATTCCACAATTTTCCTCCACGTCCACTTTCGCTGAAGTTCCTGATCACAGTTTGTTCCTTCCGAGCAGATATACAGCTAAATGCAGACTGCAGTGTTACAACTCATCTAATGTATATATCTAGTGCTGAGCAGTTGTCAATCGGAGGGAACTGGAAATCAATCGGCCAAATATCACGCCGTGTTTCAAAGAAGATTGTTCTTCTTTCCAGTAAATGATTCCAATACCAACTGACAAAAATATCACGGAACAGCGGTGTGTGTTCAACACAACCAGAACGTGACAATGTTCACGTACAGTATTGCTTAACTTGATCAAATATGAAAACCTGGATATTGGCTGCTACTTGGTTTCAAGTGTTTTTTCCTTTTCTAGGTGGTGGGTGTCTTGAACAAGTCAAGGTTTCTTTCCTGCCACCTTCACCGAAACAAGTGTTGATGGAATGCACTGTAACGCTGACATGTGTAGTGACTAATGCACCACTTGACGTCAACGTGACTTGGACAAATGAACAGACACATTTACAGTCTGGATATGGGAAACCGTCTGCCACTGAGCCTAAGGAAGTGATCAGTAAATTAAACATTTCTACACAAGACTGGACCAGTGGGAAAGTATACTTCTGCGTTGCCAGCCATGACGACATGCCGACTCCGAAAAGAGGAAAGATATCTAAGGGGCAAGGTGAGCAGCTAGTATCTGGAAATGCAAGAATTGCTTTTTATTGCAATTTCATAACGTTGGCAACAGATAAGATTGTGAAAACAATTATAAACAGTCTGTCTGTGCTTTTAAATCTGTTGATAGATTTTCTTCCCTCACAATGGCCAGAAATGTTTACAGGTATAATTTGATAAGCAGATTCTCTCACAAAAATACTGTGAAAAATAATCTAATCGTCATACCTGGACGATATCAACACAGGTTTTCGGGGAGAAATGGAACCAATGGTCTACACCAATGGTCACTCAGTAGAGATAATAAAGTGCTGTTGGGAAATTTCAATCTATAGAAGTGTTCGCAGTCACACCAACAATTAAAAATCACTGAGCACAGACTGAACAGTGACACACATTATAATCAGCTTCTTCTGCGGTATCTCGTACTTGAAGGTTTTTTCTTATTCTCGACATCAGTGTATTGATTTGATTGTGTTCTTCCCACAGTTGGGTACACGAAACAACCTTCAGTGTACCTGCTCCTCCCCTCGGCAGAAGAATTGTCTGCTCAGCAGACTGTCACCCTCAGCTGCCTGGTGAAGGACTTCTCTCCCAAAGAGATATTTGTGGAGTGGACTGTGAATGACCATTTGATTGATGGCAACAAATACAAGAACACCGAGTTGATGGCAGAAAGTTCAGATGGCAACACCTCCATGTACAGCATGTTATCCATCTCAGCCCGAGAGTGGGACCGCGGCTATTCCTTCTCCTGTGTGGTCGGACATGAAACTTTCCCACTGAAGACCCTGACCAGAGTCGTTAATAAATCCAGCGGTAAACCGAGTTTTGTAAACATTTCTCTTGTCCTGATGGACACCGCGAATGCTTGTCAATGAGTGTCTCTAAATAGCGTTGTGCTTACTTATTGAGCACCCGCCTCCCTACCGCAACACTGTCAGTTTGAAGTCATGAAAAAGTAACTCAAATAAAGATCATTGTTTATTTATGTGTCAGACACAGAGGGGATGATTTCCAATTAATTACACAGACAACTTCCGGAGTGAGCAGTTATACATCATTTGTTTGTAGCGATGTTAGTATCAAGTTAGTAAAACAGTGAGTTTGGTTTGGCTTTTCGAAAGCAGGGGATTGATTTCCACTACTTATATACACCCGGTGCAACAGCAAAAAAACGTTAATAGAACATTCCCAAATCATTCTACATCACCAGATACAATCCACGCTCATAACGAATTTTGTTAACAGCATCTTTTGGAATTGTGTGGGAAAGCTAAACCTCTTCCCTTCCAGAATACATTTGCATTGAATAATATCACTTTCCACGCCTAAATACATCTCGGATGCAAACTATGGCCTTTTCTGCTACATTTCCTTTTTAAATAAATGCTTCTTACGGAGAGATACAGATTCTGCTGCAGCAACATATTCACTTAAACACACACTCAGCCATACTTGTACATTTTGAACAAAGACACTCATTCATATTGACATCCGTGCACACTAATACCCACTTAAACTCATATCCACACAGGCCTACTCACACTCACCCAGACCAACACACATTCACTCACAGTCACATCCACCTGGACCCACACACACTCATACCCACCCAGACCGACACTTCACTCACACTCACATCCACCCAGGCCATCAACACACATCCACACACTCCCACATCCACCGTGGTCCACGCATACACGCAAACACTCACACAAAACTGCGTTGCTGTGACACTTGACCAAGTAGGACACTCACGTAGTCAGGAAACTGGCTTCTCCCCTTCTATACATTGCTTTGACTCATACTGCACCATGTCACCATTTTACTTGAGGCTAATCTGCAGATTTTTGAGAGTACGATACAAGTTTTTGCTCTCTAAAATGGAAAACAACACCTTGATAGTGAGCGTCGGTAACTCATCCCTAATCCAATCAGTCTCACATGGCCACATGCAGCAACGGTGTTTAACAATAAAGCTCAAGGATGAATGCTGTTACACTTAATCCTCAATCTCTTCAGTTGATTTACCCATTCTTTTGTGCCGGATCCACTACTGCTTCACAAGAATTTTAACGATTTTAATGCAGGCACGGACCCATTTATAAAAATATTGTTAATTTGGTTCAGGGACAAAATCATGAATAACATGGGAAATTGCCTAAGGTTGCAGAGCATTGAGCGAAGTTCGATATTGATTCAGTTTTTTTGGAAGTATATTTAAGAGAAATAATCACTAAAGGAATTACAGCAAAATAATTTTATTATAAGTGGAATGAAGAAAACTTGGAGTATATGTTGATGTCGTTGAATATCGAAGGATTATAATAATGGATTCAGTGTTTTTCACCTGGGAAATTGATTGACATTTATGCGTGAAGTTAGCAGGACTGTGTGGTGGAGCACTGCGAGCATTTCTGGACAATATTATACAAAGGACACAAGAGCCGCTTAGAGCATTTAGGGCAGTTCACAAAGATCACAATGATGATCCCTGTGATTGGCATTACCGTGATGAGGATTAGCTTCAAATTTTGTGGCTGTTCTCACAAAAAGATAACAGAAACAAAATGGAAGAGTATTACACACAATTTTTAAAATGTATGAAGATTTTGAAAGACTGATATAGTGAAAGACGATTGTAACGATAGAAACCAGGATAAGCATCTAGGGATGTCATTTTACAATAAAAAGGCAGAGTCGATATCCATATAGATATACATAATAACATTAATAATCATCATAATCCTTACATTTCATATAGCGCATTATCGCGTCTTCAAGACTTCTCAAAGCCATTCGAAGAATTTACTGTAAAGTGAATTGACTGTGTATGTTGTGGGCGAAACACGGCAGCAGATCTTTGATTATAGATTTGTAGATCGCAATTTCCGAGCTTTTGCATTTCCTTAAATTTAGTATGCCAACGTGTTGCCAAAAATCTCTTTTGGATACAATTTTACTTTGGAACAATTCTACGAACAATAAAATCAATTTCTGCTTTATCTCTCTTAAACGATTTGAAGTTTCAGCAGGATGTTGTGTGCAGTTCAATAATAATAATAATAATCCTTGCATTTGATACAGCGCTTTTCACGTCGGGAGGACGTCTCAAAGCGCTTCACAGAACACACTGTAAAGTGAATTGACTGTATATTTGTGGGCGAACGCGGCAGCCAATTGCGCACAGCAATGTCCCACAAACAGTCGCAGATTGAAAATGACCAATTTATTATTGTTTTTTTTGTTTGTTTGTTTTGGAGGGATTATTATTAGGCTCTGTGTGGAGTAAGGAAACTTACCAAAGGTTTCGCCCTCTGCCTGGAATTGAACTCAGGTCTCTCGCTTGCAAAGCGAGTGCTCTAACAACTGAGCTACAGGACTCCCCAACAGAGGGAGTGAGCCCATGGTCAACTGGGAAACATTGTATACAATAATAATCGAAATGAAAAGAGGAAATGTCTCAGGTTTCAATCCCCTCTGAATGCATTTCTTTTTGTTATCCTCGCAGATTTCCCAAATGAGATGACGCTGGAAGTTTTTCAAAAAGATGAAAGTGACAACCTCTGGCCGACTGCTTCCACCTTCATCATACTCTTCTTCCTGTGTATTTTGTACAGCGCCACAGTCACTCTGTTTAAGGTGGGGAGAGTACATTCATAGACGCTATGGTCTGATGTAACAGCTGCTGTTAAATACCTGTTCCTTCGAAACTGATAGTGATGCTCATTGCAGCGACTGTCCTGGGAAACTCCTCCTGTTCTTACAGGACAGGATCCATCTGACCAAGCTCTGTGAGGGTGATGTACGTATCCTGTCACCCTTACACACCCAATCATATACTTACCTGGTATAGACACAGGCAAGGAGCAAGACTCATTTACAGATTTGATGGATCTTTCAGTATATTGTGGATACTTGAAAGCGAAGTCTTTCTTCCTGTGTCAGTCCCTGTCAGACCGATACCCATTGACACAGTGTCAGTTAGAATTGTGTGTGCGGGGTTGGGGTGGGTGGGGGGGTGCGGGTTGGTCGGGTGGGGAGCGGGGTGCCAGTGGGTAGTGGGTGTGGTGGTCAGTGGGGGTGATTTGCACAAAAAAATAACACAATCTGGAAATATTAACTCTGCACCCAGTCTGAAATTATTCACCGTAACTTTATTTTTATTTTCCAGGTAAAATGAGTTTCTTAACATCAGCTTCACCGATGTTCCTCATCTGCATGTTTATCATCAATTTCTTGTGACAGAGTATTTGATGTCTGTTTTCACCGATTGAACAAATCAGTTACTTTTCCTATTGCTCGGAATTTTTCCTATTTTTCCTGCTTTTCTCCGAAACAACGCCAGACTGCGGCACTACCTCACCCCTCACGCTGCTGAAACTCTGGTCCACGCCTTTATCACCTCAATGCTGGACTATGGGAACGCTTTCCTCGCCGACCTTCCCGCACCTCCCTCCACACTGCAGGTCATTCAGAACACTGCAGCTCGTGTACTATCCCGCACCAGACACCGCGCCCACATCACTCCCACCCTCGCTCCCCTCCACTGGCTCCCCATCCCCCAGAGGATCGAATTCAACATCCTCATCCTCACCTACAAGGCCATTCACGGCCTCGCTCCCTCCTACCTCTCCGACCTACTGTCCCCCTACCTACCTGCCCGTACCCTCCGTTCCTCTGGTTCCGGTCTGCTCCACATCCCCCGCCCCAACCGCCCTACCATCGGTGGCATTCAGCCACTCAGCCCCAAACTCTGGAACTCCATCCCCAGTGCCTTCGCCGCTTCCTCCCTCTCCTCCTTCAAGGCCGGTCTCAAGTCGTTTCTCTTTGACCGTACCTTCAGCTCCCCTCTCAACTCTCTACTCACTCCTCGCCCCGTCCCTTCCCTCCCTCACCCTGACCATGTCCTCCCTGCTCGAGTCCTGACACAACTGTCCAGCGCTTTGGGACGTCCTCCCGACGTGACAGGCGCTCCATGAATGTAATCTTGTTGTTGTTGTTGTATTGTTAGCTTATTTTACATTGTGCCTTTTGGTAATAATATACAATGCTGTTATTTGATGTACTATCACGCCTCTCTGATACATTTTATTTGCTGTTTACCATTTTTGTGGTGTAATGATGCAGAAAGACAGAAACTGCTGTACTCTGTCTTTTGATTTGAATCTGAAGATGTATATTTTTTGTTCCGAACCTCTTCCTTAATCTCTGTATTTGTTTTCTCGAAGTATCAGTAAATTATAAAATTTTGTGAGCTGTTTGATGCGTCTCTTTGCTGTTCCCTTTGTGTCAGGTGTGTCTTGACTTCTGACCACATTGTTCAGATTCACAGAAGCTCAGCATTAGACTAAAGCTGTTGAATGAACTGTCCAACTTCAGTTAGGATTTTGCTGAGAAAACTAATGGGCAGCAATGTTTGCGCTTGAATTGCTCTTTCGCTCCAGTGACCAGCAGCTGCTTCCGTCCCCCAGTGATCAGCTCCACACCCAGACACAGCTTCAGACACATGGCGATTCTAATACAGTAACAGGCAGCTCTGTGTTGTAGTACTTATAGCACAATGTGAGAGTGCAATCTGTTTCATACTTGCATAGATCTTCATCTCCTGCCTGTTCTGAGCTGGACAATCTGAGCCGGGCAGCACCACAATATAAGACCATAAAACCCAAATTCCAGCTGTGGGCAGTTGAGCTACAGCGTTGGCCCAGACTTCACAACTTAACCTGTGAAGCTCATTAGGACTTCTTGTTGACTTGGCAGGCAAACAACATTCGCAATCCTTGAGGCAGAGGTTTTTTGTGCTCAAATCCACATCTGCGTATGACAATAATGGAGTTCATGTTTGTGAAATACACTGCAATGCTCTGCTGGGGATATGCTGTGCTGTTATAGGCTAAGATCTTTGGTCCTTATCCCTTCTCAGTCAATATTGAAGTCCTTTGAAACTTCTCCTTGCTGTGAAAAGCTCCATACCGAACCAATGGATTATTGCTCAGATAATCTATTTTCTGGAAACAGAAAGTTAATAAGGATATCTTTCATATACTAATTTGAAAATTATAGAGAGAAAGACTGACTCATGCAATAATTCTTTTGCCGTTTTATTTTTTTGAAGAAAATTAGAAAACCTGGAACACAGAAATTCCCTTCACAGAAAAACATTTGGTCTGAATTTTTTGCATTATTGTTATTTTTTCTGAAATTAATATTTGGATATCTCGACTATGAAGCATTTCCCATACCTATCCCTATGTATCCCTTTAACCCGTTCGCATTTGCCCTCTTTTCTTCCAGTCTCTGCAGCCAATTCGATTGATGAACATGATACCCTAATAAACTGCTTTGTGTGGAAATGTGGTGTAAAATTTACATTGACGATTCTGCTAAGACTAAAGAAGAAGACTTGATCTATACTGCACTCAGTATTTTTAACTATTTTTATCCTCATTTATATTCGTTTTTAATCTGAGCTGATGTACGTTAACTGATCAGTTTGAAACTAAGAACAAATGAAGATAAGAATTGCTAGTCGAAAGAAAATGATGGTACGTTCAGTTTGTTTTCCAACATCCTGGCAGTTACGTGCACATGTCAGGGCTCAAACTCTTTACTGTATCCCACAATAGTATTTCCTAAAATAATTCCATCTAATTTGCTTTTGAAAGAATCAACATTTCCCGAGAGAACCTTTCCCTTAGTTTTACAGCTCACTCACTGAAAAAGTATGTCCGCAAATTTGTTTTAGAATTTCAAAGGCCTTCCATGTCCTCTCTTTAGCCCTCCACCCTTTACATCTATTTTGCTTACTACCGTTACCTTCCCTGAGAAACAGCACAGCAGTGAAGGAATTTCGCTCGTGTCACCCTTCACTGTTCAATGCAGAATCTTACTACGCTAACTGTACAATCTGTGATAACAACAACTGAAATTAGTTAAGGTCTTTCATCCTGGAAGGACGTCCCAATGCTTTGAATCAGGATGGAGTTTCAACTGATTTCAAAAAGTTTCGAATTTCAAGAATATTCTGATACTATTTAAACAATAATCATATTCTTTGCATTTGATTTACCGACTTATCACTTCTTTGATACATTCCCCCAGTGAGAAACATGTTCTACGAGGTACAATTAAAAAGCTTTATTGTGAAAATTAAATGACTCGTATGTATTATTATGTATGAGTTTCTGTGTGTACGTGTGAGTTGCGCCGGTTGAGGAAGGATTTGCAAGGAGGCAACACTTTGTTTAGGGAACAGTTTAAGTACAACATTTGTTCGGGAAAAAGACAGGAAACTGGAATGGAATGTGTAACTCACTTCCAGGAGGAACAGACCTGTCTAATCTAATTCAGGTGCATTTTTGATCCTGGTTCTTTCGGCGTTGGATGTGTAACAACTGGAGTATAATAATTTAAATTCGACATCTTGCAGATGCACGCACTGTCTGCCAAGTTTCCTGCAGCTTGACTAGTTAGAAATATCCTCTGTGTTGGTGTTTTGGCCTGCAGGGTTAACAGGACCTAAGTGGGACGAATATCTAATTCCACTGTGACTGCTTTGCCCCTCTGGTCCCACCAATCAGGCATGCAGTTTGGCTGGTTGGTAAACATCAGGGCCTGTAACACATTCTAACCCTCAGCAACCGGATGATCGAGACTGTCACAGAAGATTGACTCAGTTCCACATTTTGTTTGCAACCGTTCCAACGAGCATTTGGTTCACCTCCAATGAGAAAACTAGATGAACCCACCCCACCCGCCACCCCCTGCCCCCTCCACACCCACCACCCCTTCACGCACACACAGCTTCGCTGTACTCCATGTGGATAGACAAATTAAAGAACAAAAATAGTTTATGTTTCTACAATTGATAAAATGGAGAAAAGACTGATTTAAATTTATACTAAATTGAAACCTGTTGCCCCAGGTCAAACAACACTTCCAAGAAATCATTGACATTGGCCACATGATGATCTGAGAAGGAGTCAGTTTCTTATCTGCAGGAAACATCTGCAATTTCTGACACTAAATTGGAACGACTTCCTCTTAATGTAAAACTGACCTGAAAGCCAGCTGCCCGAAACTGGTTAAAAATGTTCCACTAAACAACACAGAACTATCTCAAAATTAATCAAAGTCACACTGAAGTTTCCGATAATGTTCTGCAGAGGTTTCAAAATCTGTTCGCCGTTTTAGTTCTTGTAGAATACTTCACATTACAAAATTAATATTATCAAGGAAAGAACCAATGAAATCTTCCAGGTACACATGCTACAAAGTTCAAAAAGTCCAACAATTTAATCTGTGGACTAATGTGGCGTGGTCATTTCATGTTTCTGTGATTAAAAACCAACCACCCAATCTGCAGACCACAAAAGTAAAAGAAATATTGGAAACTTATTGCAGGTGAATTAGCATCAGAGGGAATAATCATAATAATTATTATTATTAAATATATTATTACTATATATTAATAGTATTATACAATAACAAGTTGCAGTTGTTATTATCGCAGCCTTATTACAAACTAACAGTAACACGAGGAACACGTGTGGTGGCTGAACAGAAACCTTTTTCATTGAACGCAATTGAAACACTCCAAACGATCCTTGGAAAAGTGCTTTATAGGCTGCTACCATGAAGCCCAAACTACTCAGGAAATAAAGTAGCTTTTGAGTTTAAGCATGATGATAAAAAATGTTCGGAAACAAGCTGAGTGTTTGTAATCTGTTTCAAAGCTGAGGACACCCCCAACTATGCCTATTAATCTGGCTCAGTTGGCAGCACTCACGCCTCTCTGTCAGAAGGCCGAGGGTTCAAGCCACAAGTCTGCATGTGGAACTGATTAACTCCAGACCGGCACTGCATTGCAGTGCAGGGGCTGAGCTGCATTGTAGGAGATTTGTTCTGCCTGTTTCTGTGCATGTTACAGATCACATTCATCCATTTGAAAAAAAAGTAAATTCTGCAGGTATTCAGACTGACAATCTCCACACAACAACATGGTGTTTTACCTCATATATGATATTAGTGCTTCAAATGCACAGACAGCGGCATATCACGTTGTTGGGGCGTCTCAAAGGGGAATTGTTGGCCTGGATACAGGGAGAAACTCCCTTCTCGTTTCGAATAGTGCACTGGGATCTTTAGCATCGACCTGAATAGACAGACAAACCACCGTGCAATATCTCATCAAAAGGATTGCTCCCCTCACAACAGAGCACATCCCTGGCAATGGTTTGTAGCATCAACTGGGACTATCTGTTTAAAATGCCGATGTGGGTCATGTAAATAAAAAGTTTCAATCAGAGGCAAAACCGTTGCCGTGCGAAATCTTCTGATGCACATTTCATGGCTGCTTCACATCGGCTGCAAAATACAGGCACTGAACTCTGCTGTTCTTCATGTGATGTGAAGAAGACTTTTCCGGACATGAAAGGCGCTGTATAAAATGTAAAGATGTGTAGATTCTGCGTGGACAAGCTGTGTATTACAGATGTTCAACTCTATTTTTTAAAACCTACACCGATGAAACAGCATCTGAGGGAACAGTAAATCAGAGATTCTATTATTCCCGCTCATAGAACCGCATTATTGACAATCATAGAAAATGTCATTTGGTCTCTTCTATGTCTCCTAACTCAATTGGTGACTGTCCATTGCATCCCGTTCATTGGCTCTGTTCATATACACCAATGATCGACTCCATTTTAGCTTTCTTTCTGACTCTTATTTTATCACTACAATTGCTCGAGTCAGGCCTTTCCATTTCCACAAAATAATGTGCAAAAATAAACTGGCATTGCCATTTTCTGGTTTACGAACTATCCTAAATTCAAAACATTTAGTCACTGATTTACCGAACAGTAGCAATAAAATTTCTCTATTAGCTCTGTCAGTAATTCAGATAATTTACAAGTCATCTATTAGGCCATCGCTCAGCCATCCGGCGTGGAGGAAGCTATACAAATACAAGTTGTTGTTGCTGTTGTTGTTTTGAGTAGATTTCCACCATTCATGTGGAGTCATTATGGACTCCTGTATCTCGGTGGTTAGACCACTTGCCTCGCAAGCAGGAGCACTGGGATTGATTCCTGGCAGAGCAAAACAATGGGCAAGTTTCCTTGCTCCGCACGCCTGATAACGAAAGCTGAAGAAATGTAAAAAAAACAATATTTAATTGGTCATTTCAATCCATGATCTGTTGTAGGACATTGCTGTGCTCACTTTGCTGCCCCGTTTTGCCCACATATATTGAATCAATTCAATTTACAGTTTATTCTGTGAAGCTCCTTGAGACGTCTCGCAGATGTGAAAAGCGCTAAATCAAATGCAAGCATTATAAGTATTATGTTATTATTATTTCAAAGTTTTCTGTTTGTTTCTGATAACTGAGCATGGAAAATATCTTAATATTTGTGTTTTTTTCTTGATCACTCATCGAGCAATGTTATTGATATAATTTTATTAGAAAAGGTTTTCAAGAAGTGTAAAGCTTTGATGATGTTGTTCAAAGATTAAACTTGATTTTGCTTTACTCCGCAACTGTTAAGTGCACTGAGACGCTACCATGCGTTGTACGGTGCTATATAAATCCAAGTTGTTGCTGCTGTTGATCTGTTGTATCCGAATACAGACTTCGCAGGTCACCGCGTCTCAAAGTGCAGTTACAATAAGTGACGCACATCATCTGTCAGGGTTCGTTATCTGCGGAGCCTGTGCTCTGTGGACAATGAACGCGTTGCTGTTCGTCTGCAGATGAACATCGTCTTAGTCGAAGCGTTAGAGAGCGTCACCATCCACAGTGATCACAAGCAAAGCTTTCTCTTATTGGCTGCAGAAAACGTCAGTGACATTTGAGAGGACAAATCACATTTAAACAAGTTGGAGCATCACTTGGCAATTATTCCATTGATCAGTACATATGTGTTCAAAACGTGACAACTTCAGTTTAATCTTAATTGCTTGTCACATCTTTAAAAAAATAGTCTCATATTCAGCATATCTGCTCTCACAGATTGCTATGCGTCAGAACGCTTGTCACCTTGTAATTGTCCACATGATGGTTAGTTTAAAATAAAGATGGGCCATTGGACAGAAAGATGTATTGTTTGAATAGAGACTTCCAAGGTCACCATGGCTCAATGTTCGGGTGGATAGACTGGATGGCTCGATAGGTTGGGTTGAAGAAGCAATGGGCGAACGGATGTGTACGGTGGTTTGTATGTTGTTATGGATCTATGGAACAGTGGTGGCTGGGTGGGCGGACAGATCAATGGATGGATGGCTGGACGGAATGACCATTGATGTGTATATCGTTGGGTTGTTGGCTGATACATAGATCTATCGAGCAGCAGATGTACTTGTAATATCCATCGCATAAGTGAATTTCAGTGTTCGATTGCAGCAGCTGTTTGTCAACCGTTCATCTGGTCAGTGCCTGGAAGTAGCAAACTTTTCTTCTTAATATTCTCCTCAATCAGTATGAAATTTAAAGGCATTTGAAGCCTTCTGCTCAAGAAATCAGAATTGTCAATTGTGCCCATGAATTAAAAGAACTCAAAGCATTCAAGCTTCCACATTGGTCTTGCAGCGCCACTCAGCGGTTACATTGGAACATGAACTCCACTTTGGCTGAAAGATAGCGATTGATTCAACGCCTCTTTCATTAACTTGAATACGATATTAATGATAATGGAATTGCTTTGTATTCAATCAAAATTACAGATTTTGTAGAAACGTAAAATCAAGGATTATTGCAGTACACAACCCGATCTTATGGTCTATCATGTCTGTAATGGATCAGTAGAAATGTTATCCAATCAGCACCACTCCCTTGCTCACTCGCTGTACAAATTTTCCTTTTTCAAGTATCCATCCTATTCCCCTTTGTAAGTTGTTATCGAATCTGTTTCCACCACACTCTCAGGGTGTTGATTCCAGTCCGTAACAATTTTCTGTGCAAAAATAATGTATTCACATCTCCCCTCTGGTTGTTTTTTCCAATTATACCGACATCTCCTCTTCTTTGACGGTCTACTGTTATTATTAACAAGAATATTTCGTGCATTTGATAAAACTCTTTATCGCATTAATGAGACGGCTGATCGTGCCTCACAGAATATAACTCAAGCTCTAAATTGACTATACATTCCGGGAGCACTGCGGCAGCCAATTGTGCACAACATTGACTTACTAACAGAGTCGTGTATTGAGTGACCAATTTTTTTAAAAATGAAGTGATTTCTTCATTCAATTGGCTACCAACTTGGTCCTGCTTACCGCTCGGGAAACAGAGGCGTATGTGTGGAGTAAAGAAACTTGCCCAACATTTCGCCCAGTCCCGATCTAACGGGAATCGAACCTAGTGCCTCTCGCTTGCAAGGCAAATTCTCTAAAAACTGAGATACATGGCGCTAATATTATCAGTGACAGAAAGCGGTGGATAAGGAGCAGCCTTCCTGACAGACCTCAATAAAAGCAACATTTTGTTCCCAATCCCAACGCTGAGTCTTAACAAATGCACGCTCCTGCCGCTGACCTGAGATAGTTCCAGCAGGAGTGAGGGAGGAAGAGAGCGAGGAAGAGAGAATTTGCTGATAGGGAATGGGAGATGGAGGGAAAGGGGGGTGGGATATTGAAGGGGAAGGGAGAGGGAGTCGTGTGAAGAAAGAGGGTGGAAGAAAAAGAGAGACAGAGGGAGTGAGGGAGGAAGTGAGAGAGAGAGGGAGAAATCTGGAGGAGGGTTGATGGAGGGAGAGAGGAAGGGAAGAGCGGGCGAGTGGAAAGAGAATGAAATGAGAGAAAGAGGAAGCTGAGAGAGGGAACAGAAAGGTGAAAGGAGATGGAGCGAACTGGATGGAGAAGAAGGGTGGAGGGAGAGAAGGAGGAAAGTGCAGGAAGAAAGGTGAGAGAGAGAGAGGCGGAGAGAGAGAGGAAGGGAGGAGAGAGATTGTGTGAGAGAAGCTGAGGGGAAAGGAGGATGTAGTGGCAAAGTGAGAATTGTGACGGAGGGTGGAGGCAGAAGGCAGAGAGGGTGAGAGTGTCTGAGGGAAGGGGACAGAACGAGGAGAGAGAGAGAGAGAGAGGAGAGGAGGGAGGCATGAGTTTCAATAACGGTCAATAGCGTCATAATATATAATAATACACAGTGTGTAGAGTAAACCAGACCACAGTAACTCACCAGTTATGGATCGGGAGTGAAGGTGCGGCGGCGGGACAAAACAACCTATAGCGATGCAGGGGAAGCGGAGAGCCGGGAGGCGAGAGGAGAAAGCGGGCGGAAGCTCGAGTGGCACCAGGGCTCAGGAGCCGGTGCGCAGAATAATTGTGGGGAGAGCTGGGGAAAGCTCAGCAGGTCAGGCAGCATCTATGGAGAGAGGAAAGTCCGTCAGCGTTTAGGGTCCACGACCCCGTCCACCGAACTGGAGCATGTTGGGAGGGAGAAGTTTTCAAGGACAAGTTGAGAGGAGGAGGCAGGACAAGGTAGACAAAGAAGACGGGAAAGAAGACGAAGGAGAGATTAGGTTAGCTGATGGGTTAAAAGGTGATCGTGGCGTAAATCAAAAGGAGGGTGAGTGTTGGTTGAAGCAAAACTGGGAATAGAGGTATTATTAGTGCAGAACAGCCACCACATAATAGAGCGGCAAGGAGTGTCTGGGCTGGTGATTGTAATGATAACAGTTAACTCTTCTGGTGGCCGAAAGTGTGCGAGGGGGGAAGGTGAGCTATTATGGTCTGAACGGTCTGAAATCAATATTGAGGCCAGAGGGGTAAAAGGTCCCTCGTAGGTAAATAAGATGTTGTTCCTCAAACTTTCGCTGTGCATCATTGAAACAGCGTTGGAGACCATGGATGGAGGTCAGACTGTTAATGGCAGTGTGTGTTGAAAAGGCTGGAGACTAGAAGATCAGGAGTGACCTTTCTTACAGAACGGTGGTGTTCTGCGAATCGGTCAACCAATCTGCGCTCAGTCTCCCGAATATAGAAGAGGCATCACAATGAGCAGCGGACACATTATTCTACATTGGAAGTAGCACATTTACACCGCTGTCTTACATAGATGCTGTGTTTGGGGCCTTCGAGAGCAGTCTGGGAGGTCTGAAATGGTAGGACTTACATTTCCTGCGCTGGCATGGGAAGGTGCCAGGTGAAGGAGAGCAGCTGATGTATTGCGACAGTCTTATGCTCCGACAGTGACACACGATCACATAGAAACAGTCGCATGACAGTATCATCCCTTCTTACTGGGTCTCCCTAATCAAACACACACAGAAACGTAATGAGCACAAAACACACACTCGCATATACACTTGTACTAATTCGCAATGAAAATCACTGGTTTGTTTATAAGTTACTTTATTACCCACTAGCCATTGTCAAATACAACAACTATGCACAGAACAATTTTCCACTCACAGTGTCGGATTGTGTTTCTACCTTCATCTCATTAATTATTTTCTGTGTTCACATTTACGTGTAAAACGGATTAACTTCACAACGAGATTGGTTGAGGAGGTGTACCGTGTCTCTGACCCTGAGCCGATAGCGATTACGGATTTGCACAGGGAGCTGCACTGTATCTCGAGTCCTGACCTGGGAGTGTGGATGCACATTGTGGAAAGAAATATACTCCGGTCCTTTCCCTGAACTGGGCGTGTCGATAGACATTGTAGATGGAGTTTACTGTGTCTTTATCCCCGACATGAGAGTCTGAAGAAAAAGTGTAAAAGGGAGCTTTACAGTGTCTCTAACTGTGACATGGAAGTGTCAACACATAATGTAAAGAATCATTTATTTTGTCTTTTACCTCGACCTGGTTGTGCGAACAGAGTGTGTAGATGGAACTTTATATTGTGTTTAACCCTGACCTGGGAGAGTCGACAAAGTTTTCTGAGGGAACATTACGATGATTTTAACCCTGACTTGAACATGCGGATGGACAACACAGCACTTGCTTTTTCTTTTATTCAAACAGCAGATTATCGCCATGGTTGGGCAAGTTGCGGACGGATAATCTAACGAATAAAATACAAGGAAATGTTACCGCTTTCTTCAGCTCCTCTCTGAACTTAGCCTGAGTGACTACATAAATACATGTATTTGTACAGGAATTAATCATCTGCAGCATGTTGCCAGTTTCATAGAAAATGTATAAAGGATCATTGGGGTCTGTGGGGTAATCTGTTTTTGAAACCCTCCAATATAAAAAAANTACAACATGTGTCATCCACAATAATATAAAACTTGCAGATATAACAAAGAGTAAAACTATGGATTTCCTTCGTTTCTTCATCTCTGGATCACTGTCACTCACACCTCTATTCCTCGCCCCATTACTGTGGCCCCACAATCTATTGCGGGTTCGACTGGCCAACAATATGTGCCTGACAGTCAGGGCGTTGAGCAGCAAAATCAGAACGAAAGGGAGAATCGGGGTTAAAATAAGGTCGAACATGTCAAATGCTACCCACGTGAGAGAAGTAAGAAAGTCTGTATTAATTGCGCATCCCCAAGGTGTATTATTAACTCTGTGCACTGATGTCAACACAAAATACCAGGGAATGTTTTGCCCAATGAAGAACACATTCAATACGGCTATAACAACACAAGCAGTTTTTTCGGTGCAATATTTTGTTTTCAGTTTTGGGCAACAAATAGCCACGTATCGATCAAAAGTAAAGGACACAGTGAGCCAGACTGAAGTTGCAGTTGTTGTTGTATCCAGAAACAATATGAGTCGACACACATAAGTGATGGACGCAAACGAATTTGGAAAGTAATCAGGAATAATGCGATTTAAAATCACACTGTTGAAAATCAGCATCAGATCCGCCACTGACATGGCCACCAGATAGCTG